CTGCTCACTTTCAAACCAAGACGAGTAGTATCCAACAATGTTTTCATGGGACCCTAGAGAAAGCAAAACAGTTAAACCCTGGGTCCCCGAAAGGGTGGACTGCTGTGGCTTGCCACCAGTTGGTCCCTTTTAAAGAAAAATATTTGATGAAGCACAAACACAAAAATTAAAAGACTAACAATAACGGAAACCTACCTAAAGCCGCCAGAGATTGAACTTCCATCATAGCCTTTCTCCTGCAAAGGATACAAAAAGTAATAATGCATAAGCAAATGGCTTCAACAAATGACAGATATATCTAAAGCATGAGTAAGCAACCTTTCTGTGTCCAGATACAACTGCTTCATGCTACGTTTCACGGCATACAAACAACCATCAATTCTGTTCAAGACTTTGAATATGTGACTGAAGTACCCACTGCCGATTTGCTAGAAGGAGAAGGCAAATTACAAACAAATTAGCCAAGTGCACAATATTAAAATTTATAACTAGATAGCATATGCTTAAATCCATAAAAATTTTGGGATTTGGTAAATACCTCAATCTCGTGAAAATCAGCACAGTAACGCGAAAGGCCATTTCCGCCCATAAAAGCAGGGAAGAAAGCTGGAGATTGCAGCATTAATAATTAGAACTTGAAGAATTGGTAAACACCATACAGGCAAAATACCACCCCCGGGGGGGGGGGGGGGTGGGTGGGTGGGTGTGGGGGTTGGGTTGTGGTGGAGGCCAGCCGGAGTGAGCCTCCCATAGAGGCAAGTGAAGTTGGTGAGCCGTGTGATGGGCAACTATCTCCTAAATGAAGTATGGGGTTTCGACCAATGTCTTAATATTGAAGTAGTTTCTCATTCGCAACTAACAGAAGCATACCTGCACATTTCGATCTTTGGTTTCCAAGAGGATCAATGCCCATTTCTGAAGCATCCTTAATATACGGATTCTTAAAGCAAGGAGGAGGCAAGCGTAAAGCCACAGCAGATTGAGACACATAATTTTGCACCTTCCGCGGTTCTGTTGCTGTTGGTTTCTCTATCATAACCTCATCCATGCCAAAAACATCTGCTTCAAGCTCAACTATCGGCTGATTTCCAGATAATGTAGGGCTGAGAGGATTCAACGAGATATCATCTGCAGAGAGTATGAACTTTTACTTGCAAGACCAATTACCCAAGTAGCTTTTCATCAAAATTTACTTCGTAGTAAAAAAGTTAAAACAAACTTTTAGCCTTACTCTGACACTGTCTTCGCCTCTTCGATTTAAGGGTATTCGATTTCTCGGGTGATTTGGGACAAGGGATGTTTTCCAGCTAAAAATAGAAACAAACATATTAAAGCAAGAGTCTTTAAACCCAAGTCAATTTTACAGAAATTGTGAAACCCAATCCAACCCATTGTACCTTGGTGCAATCCCAGCCGTTCATCATATGCTGATTATCCGGTGTTATATAATCAGGAGTGCTGCATCAATCAAACCCAAAACAAACAAACAAAAATCCGAGTTTTCATCAAATTTTCGAATTCAAATACCAAAAAGCTTGAAAATTTACAAAAGTAATAACGCGGAGGATCATACCAGAAGAAATCTTGGCTGAGAATGAAATCCCTGTCGTCGACATCGGTGTCGACGTCGGTCCCGAGGGGAGCGGACGAGGGAAGGCTGCCGTCGGCGTCTCGGGCTTCTACAAGGTTCTGGAAGCGAGAGGGGTTCGATGATGACGTGGAAAACGACGATTGGTTCAGGGTTTCCCCTAGCTGAAGCCTCGCCAGCGCTCCCTTCATCTCCCTCCGATTCTTCTTCTTCCACGTTTCTAGGGTTTTGCTCGAACCGACTGTCTCGTTCAGTGTTCTTCTTGCTGACGTATTAAAAAATTTAAACATTTGGGATTTCAAATCGCGCGCGACAAAATGATTGGCTGAAATGGATCTACTGTGCGCTACCGTGATATTTGATTTAGACCGTAGGATTGGCATATCTCCTGGGGGGATGAGTTGATGATTTTGGTTTCACTAGATGATGTGGTTGGGGCCAATATGATCCTCTCCGGATCTTTTGGTGAGGATAATCGTATTCGTTTATTATATATCGTACGGTCAGTTTTTATCAGATACTATTTATGTTTAATTTTAAATAAAAATATTTAAAATGATTTATAACCCACTTTGTACGATAAACGGACACAATTCACAGATTTCGGGATCCGCACAAAAAGGATCTAGCAAGGGTTCGAATTCATGATTAGGGTGGAATTTTCTACCAGATTACCGTATCAACTGAAACACCAATTATATTATACTAAAATTTGTATTGAATTTTGTACCAATTAACAATTGTACAATCGAACCATACATTTTTATACGGTAATGGTATCTAAAACCTCTACCGAACTATACCATATCAAACCAGTGTTATATAATTATATATTTATATTTTACATCATTATAACTACTATTAATTAAGTTTTGTATAGAAAAATAATTCTCATAAAGATGAATGATGAATATTGATACCATGACATTTTAATTTGTTTGGATCTGCTTTTAAAATGACTAAAAGTGTTTTTGGTAAAAATGTTTTTGGAACCAATCCTTAGTAAAAATACAAGAAAATTCTAGAAAAGCATTTAAAGTGCTTATTGGAAGAAGCACATAACTGGTACTTCTTGCAGAAAGCATTTTAAATGTTTTTGGAACCAAAAAACATTTTATCTAAAAGAGTTTTCAGTCGTTTTAAAAGCACATCCAAATGAGCCCTTTAACACTACAAATATGACTATATGAGACATTTTATTCTACCTCAACAATAGATTTTGTGACTGACAAATTGTTTATGGATTCAGGTTTTTATGGTGGTATATGCAAGCCTTTAAAATTCAAAATGTATAATCAAATATTGCATTTAATCGATATTTTTAAAATTATTTTTCTTATTTATCTAAAAAAGTAAATCCGTCACTAACAAAAATTCACATTAAATTAATAAAATTTGAAGTAGACATTAAATGACAAAAAAAAAAAAAATAGTTCTCTAAAATATTGGACATTGGATGAGTCTAAATAAAAGGAATCCAAAAAAAGACTCCTAAATATTTATTGTTGTGAAGTAATAAAATTAGTGGATTAAATAGTTAATTTTTTTGAGAAAAGAAAAAAAAATAGAGATCGAACTCGTACCAAATTTTATATATTTTTCATCATTGTAATAAAATGTTATTGACGCACATCCTAAACATAAAAGAAAAAATTATGATAAATGCGATATCCAATTTTTGGTTTGGCCCAGTGTGCAGGATGTGCTAGGCTCTAGTTTTCTCTTTGGGCCTGTCTCGAGACTCCGAGCCCATCGTACAGTTCGATAAACTGAAAAAATTCCCGGCAATTCAAACCCAACGTACAATATCATAAATCAATTTCTCCCAACTGAAACGGCGGTGGAGGATACTGAAGTTCCCAGGAGGAGGAAATTGGCGGCAAAACCCTCCGCCTGCAAGCCCCTTTCCTTAAACCCATAATTTCCTCCGTCGCTGAAGATTTCTAAGCTCCGTCGCCATGCTTACGCGTTGTTTTCAGACGAATCCAGATTCTGATCAGAGCATTTCCGGTAAACTCTCTCGTTTTGATTGTGTAAAATTTTATTTATTTGGGATTTTTGGCTTAGGTGTTTTTGGTTGTTCATCTGGCAGATGAGGAAGAATCTGACCGAGAATTTCCCAACAATTGCGCTGCGATTGTTGGTTCCGCCAAGAAAAAGGTTCTTATTTTTCCAGGAGGATCTATTCTCTTCGTGAGGATCTGATCCTCCAATCACATTCGTTCATTGTACATCGTACGGTCAAAAATCATTGTAAATTTTTTATGTAAAATTGAATATAAACAATACTTAATAATAATGTATGATGAACGAATATGATTAGAGATCCTCACAAAGAGGATCCGGTAAGGATCCTCTCTCCTTATTTTTATATTTATTTTGAGAGAAAAAATGGAGCAATAATCCCAAACTTTGGCCCAATTGGAGTCTGAATTAAAAATCTGTGAGTATTGGTTCCTGAACTAAAGTTCGGATTTTTAGTTAGCAACCAAAGCTCTAGTTGAGCCAAAGTTCAGCGACAATTTCTCCAATTACCTCTTATTTTGCTTTAAACTTCAATTTTGTTGATTTAATTTGTATGTGTGTGCATTGTTTATGTAATTTTAATTGATCAAAGGTTGATGCAGTGTGTTTGGATATCAGGAAAATATGAGAAAGTAGAGAAAATTATGATAACTACTTTTCTGGTTGTATTGACAATTAGGCTAATTGGCCAATGCAGTGTGCCTTGCCGACCCTTTTGCACCGAATTTGAATCTCCCTTTCGAAGTTTAGAATAGAATATCGTCTTGTAAAAAAAGTGATTATAATTACAATGTTTTGCTTTTAGATTACAATTAACAATATCTTCATTAACTGAAAACAAATCAATAATTAGGCTGAATAACTGAACCACTGTCATCATGACATGTGTCACAGTCTTGATCGGAGAAAGATTTCCTGTGGCCTGAGGTCAGAGTAATTTTGATGAGCCTATGCAGATGTTTTCACTTGATTGTCTGCATTAGTAGAAATTCGAAACTTGTGTTGCAGGAAAAAGATGGTTTATTAACAAAAATTCTATTCGTAACAGGAGGAGTTACCACTTTCATCACGGCTGGAAATGCTCAAAGGTATTGTAGTTTTTCGAAATTGGCTACTAGGGTTGTACTGGCATACGCTCTTTTGAGCAGCAGTATTGTTCAATTGTTTCAGATGCAGGTGCGAATGTGTATGCCTGCAACTTGGAGGATGAATTGAGCTCCGATGAAGAGGTATTATGCATTCGGATATAGATATATCTTATTCTGTATTGTGTATTAATGAAGGATTAATGTGCTTGTGAACTGTTTCTGGAAAAGGGGAACAACATGAGTGCGAAAGTTTCGGTTACTCTTGGTGCTAAAAAATTGCAAAAGGATTATGTTCATTGCATTGGAAGAAGTGATAAAGAAGATGAATCATGTACATGGTCTGAAGTAAGTAAAGAAGCTGAGGCACTCATGCGATTAAATGAACAAACTTCATGTTCATCACCAAAATCTGATTATTCGAAAGTGAATAAATCGTTCAAAGGTAATGTATCCTGTTTGAAAGGTGACCCTTAAACTTTTGTACATTGTCACAGTCTGTAGTGTGTTCTGTTAAACTTGATAATCTACTGTTGTAGGAGTGAAAGACAAAGGCAAGCCAAAATTTCCTTCCGTTTCAAGACTCAAAAGAAAGGACCCTCTTGCTTTTCTGTATCTAAAAACGAAAGTGATATGTCATTCAAGGTTCAACAAGTGCCTGAAATGTTGAAGGCAATTGGGCCCAGGACTGAAGAATATTTGGATTCTGAGCTTATTGAGGATATTCAAGGAGAAGAGGAAAATCAGCTGGAGATTGTTCCTGTTGACGTTAATGAACTTGGGCATGGATCTATTGAGCAGTCAATGGCAGAGCTTTTAGATGGCCTTCAAGATAAGACAACTATGCTGAGAGGAAGATCTAAAATGGTTCTCTGTCTTCTTCTCTTCAAACATGTTTTTCTCTTCCTTTTCCCATTTACATTTTGCTGTTCCCTGTTTCATCTAGCTTTTGTTTCAGTATCGTAGAAAAAGGCGTAAAAAGGCGCAGCCTGTTATGAAGATTATATCTTCACTTGGAGATAGAGTTATTGACAGTGAAAGCTCCCCTGAGCACTTAGGCCTGGGATCGCCAAGTAATAGCAAGGTATCTCTCTGTACTGATTTCCTTATATGTTCATTCCTGCTCAAGTCAGTACTTTATCAAACATATAGTGTTTAGCAGGCCGATGATCAAATTCTGAAGCTTGATAAACCGGAGGTAAAGAGGCAAACACTGGTAGATCGCTTTCAAGAAGCTTTGAGTGACAGAGCCCTTGTTGCAGTGCCTAAACCATTAAGGTAAATGGTGTGATCCTGTTATAAGTGCAGTCAATGTTAGTACAAGTGAATTCTTTACTGGTTGCTAAATGTGCATATCTACCGGCAATTTTGTAGAATTGGATTATTTGGGCAACTGCAGCAGGTCGTGCAGAGTGAGAAAGAAAGTGATACGGAATTCTTGAAGAATATTGAGAATGGAGCTAACCAAAGTAACAAGGCCTTGCAATTATTTTCTTTTTAAGTTAATTTCTGCATGCATAGACTAATTGTATGGGAATTCTACAAAATATAGTGGTTGTTCTTCTAAAAAAAATTTCTCCAAAATATATGCCTTGACTTTATTCCTCGTTTCTACACTTCCTCAGATGAACCAAGCTGCATTGATGTGAAAATTCTTTCAAGATATTTGGATGCGAAGTTGACAGTTTGCCACTGCTTGTTTGGAAACAATGTAAAGGTCGCTTTAATAATCGTTTCTCAGACGTTCTTCTGGCGACATGTTATTGTGTGAATGCAAATGCATTTTTCTCACAGCTTTGTTAGAAAGGATGACTGAAGATCTGTGTTTCTTTGTGCAGCGCCTCCCATGGCCAGAGAGCCCCAAGAATACGGCGAACGAAGAAACAACATGGACGGTTATCTTCAATCCAAGAGTTTGTGATGATGTTGACCTTGAAGTGGGCAAATGCATTCGTATTCACCCCCCATGGTATGATTACGAAATTTGAATCTTTGTTAGACTTTGCCTATTCTGCAGTACCATTGTATAACAAGTGTACGGATTAATGTAAAGCACGATGGATAATTTGGGCAGGAAGGAGATTCATGTGGGGAATGACAAAAGCATTATCTTATCCGTGTATTTCTCTGAGATTTCAATTTGACAAGATACGGTTTCTCCACGACCAGGATTGGTACGATATGTTCCAGCCTAACTTCAAAGTCCACCTCGCTCGAAGCTCAACAATCATCAAGCTTTACATGGTAAGCGGGTTGAGTATCAATTGAAGGTGGTTATCCACAACCTCCATTCGGATTTTGTATTCATGACGGAGGGAACTATATGCTGCCAGTGTCGGAGGGATATCGTCTGCTTGAACATCGTTATGGCGATTCAAGTGGTGCAGCCAATGAAGAAGTATTTTGGCTTTGAAATGAATGCTGTATTTGTGGGATGAGTGGTTGGTTGGTGAGATTTCTGGCTGCAGTTGGTAGCGATCGCTTGATCGTCAATAGTTCTAGTGGTCCTGTAATTCTGATGGGAGCTGATCCCGATCCATTAAAGTGTACACGAATTAATTGTCTGCTAATTAACAGATGAATTTGTAAACCACTATTAGTAAATTTCGGATTCGCTGATTTGGCGGGTTTTAAATTTTGGTTTTTTTTTCTCTTTTCTTTTCCCTTTGCTGACTTATGGAGAAGGTGTTTTATTCAAAACGGAAGAAGCATCATACGATCATGCATAAGTAGCGCCTAAGATAGCAAAAGTTAGAGAGGTTGATCGGTAACTCAAATATGATAATCAAGAAAACAAAAACGTAAGCTTAATTAAAAGATTCTTTGTATGAATACGCTGTTAGATGTAAATCACATACATGTTCTTGAGAGTTTGATGGATGTTATTGCGAATAGTGTGACATTGGAAAGTTAAGAAGTCGTCTTGAACAGTAAATATGAATAATTTTGCTCATTTAACAAGGAGGTCATTGTAGTATAGTGGTAAGTATTCCTGCCTGTCAGGCAAGTGACTCGGGTTTGATCCCGGCAACGGCGCGCTATCTTTTTAAACCCATATTTTCTATCCCGAAATTACAAATTTATCCCAAATCATAAGGTTTTTTTTTTTTAACAAACGATATTATCTATACTTTAAATCTATTTTTTCTATCCTGAAATTACAAATTTATCCCAAATCATAAGGTTTTTTTTTTTTTTTTTTAACAAACGATATTATCTATACTTTAAACCTATTTTTTCTATCCTGAAATTACAAATTTATCCCAAATCATAAGGTTTTTTTTTTTTTTTTTTTTTTTAAACAAACGATATTATCTATATTTTAAACTTATTTTTTCTATCATGAAATTATAAATTTATCCCAAATCGTAAGGTTTTTTTTTTTTTTAATTTTTTAACAAACGATATTATCTATACTAAAAAAAATAATACACTTATCCTCATAATAGATTGATAATAATGTAATTCAAATTTACTTTTAATGAAAATCAAACTTAAAATTTTATATGTGAGATAATACCTAACAATTCAATTCCTATCAGCCGTGGTTTCGACGCGAAACACATCTCCGCTTTTTCGTGCACTCCAATCAACGAACAAAATGGCCTGCATTTTTACAATGACAATATTGACCCTCTCTTCTCCCTATATTTGCCTCCAAAACCTACCTTCTGCCCAATCCCCGAAAAGGCTGAATCAGTAATTTGAGCGGACTCTATCCTCTTCTAGTTTGGAGTTCCCGATCATCTAAACGTACCCCTCGGAATCCTCAAAAATCCCACCACCCAAATCCTCCTCCTCCGATGGCCACCCTCTCCGCCTTCTCGCCTCCCTCCTGGCCCGACCCCAACTCCGCCGCCACCTTCCTCACCGATCCCACCGACGACAACGCCACTTCTGTCGTTGACTCCAGCGACGACCACCACGACCCCCAATCGCCCCCAAACCCTAACCACAACCTCCACAATAACAACCCCTTCTCCTCCTCGCCCCCGGAGCCTGCCCCGCCGGCGCCGCGCTCGCCTCCGTCTCTTTTCCACGTCTGCTTCAACCAAGACCACGCTTGCTTCGCCGTGGGGACAGACCACGGGTTCCGGATCTACAACTGCGACCCGTTCCGCGAGCTCTTCCGCCGCGACTTCGACAATGGCGGCGGAATCGGCGTCGTTGAGATGCTATTCCGGTGCAACATCTTGGCCATAGTCGGCGGTGGGCCCGACCCTCAGTACCCGACCAATAAAGTCATGATCTGGGACGATCACCAGGGCCGGTGCATCGGTGAGCTGTCGTTCCGCTCCGTCGTCCGGTCCGTGCGGCTCCGGAGGGACCGTATCGTCGTCGTTTTGGAGCAGAAGATATTCGTGTACAATTTCGCCGACCTGAAGCTGCTGCACCAGATTGAGACGATCGCGAACCCTAAGGGGCTGTGCGCGGTGTCGCAGGTAGCGGGGTCGCTGGTGCTGGTGTGCCCTGGGCTGCAGAAGGGGCAGGTTAGGGTGGAGCATTACGTGTCGAAGCGGACCAAGTTCATTATGGCTCACGATTCCAGACTTGCCTGCTTTGCACTGACGCCGGACGGCCAGCTGCTCGCCACTTCCAGCAACAAAGGGACTCTCGTTCGGATTTTCAATACTCTCGACGGAACTTTGCTGCAAGAGGTATAATTTTATTTTGCTTGAAAAGCTCTGAACTTTGTCATAATTCAATACAATATGTTACATATTTTAGCTTGAAGTTGGTTTCATATGATTCAAGAGAGTTGGGATTGCTTGGTATCGAATTTCAGATATGAATTTAGGAGCTTTGGTTAATTTGAAAGCCTTGTAGTAGTATTAATGAAATTCCAATGCAAATGTGTTATATAATTGATCTTGAAGTTCTTGGCTTCTTATGATTAGAGAAAATTGGGGTTGCTTAGATCAACTTTCGGATATGAATTAGGATCTTTGCTTAATTTGAAAGCAGCTGTAAGTTGCAGGGCATGGTGACTTATATTTCAGTTTGGACTGGATTCGAACATTCTTAAGTTTGAGGAAGTTTGTTCAACCGTTAACGGGGATGTGCTAATGTTCACTCGTAATGATTGAGTATTTAGGGTACATTCTATATGGACTTTCAGTTTTGTAGTTGGTTGGGATTTAAATCAGCTACTGTTCAATGTTCATTACGAAGTCATGTTGTGTTTACATGTTTGTTCTCTGTATGCTTTGCTTAATGAACTTTGGAAAGACTGTTTTCTTCAGTTCTATTCATTTTATCTGAACTTTGAGGAGGGTGCATCCCTCCTCCTTCGTTGGAAGGTCTTAAGTGGTGTGGACGTATGATTACGGGTTGGTAGAATTATGGATGCTTTGCATACATTGCAGGTAAGAAGGGGTGCAGACAGAGCAGAAATCTATAGTTTGGCATTCTCTTCAACCGCCCAGTGGTTAGCGGTCTCAAGTGACAAGGGAACGGTCCATGTTTTTAACCTTAAGGTTAATTCTGGATCCTCTGGAAATGAGAATCCCCGAAGTGCATCTGATCCTAATCTTGCGGTTTCATCATCAAACTCTTCTCTTTCTTTCATCAGAGGTAAACTCTGTCTCTCATTAGTCTTGCTGTTTCATCATCAACAAATGATTAAATTGTTCTGGTTCGTTTGCTGCTCTAAACGTTCTAGATTTACTATTGACAGATGGTTTGTTCGGGGATATATGTATCACTTTAAATCATTACATATTGCTTCGAGGGGAAGAATTTGAAGTTACAGATATGATTTAAGAACTACATTTGTATATGCCAGTGGCACTTGAATGATGGGAATAAATTTTTCTTTTTCCCTGTGTTCAATACCATATGCTGAAAACTAGTGAATTTTGAATTATCCAATAATACACAGAAGGAATTTGTGTGCCGTGTGAAACAGTTGTTAAAAACATGGTGCAATCCGCAATTCCGCATATGCATGTGATGAAGTTTGCGTCTCTCCTCTCCTTAATTTGTGATACCATGTGTAGTCTTGTAAACCAGCAAATGACATATTATGCTTATCATTCTTAGACCAATGGATCTGAGTGAGGTTTGCATTGCAGGTGTGCTGCCCAAGTATTTTAGCTCAGAGTGGTCGGTTGCTCAGTTTCGCTTGCTTGAGGGTTCTCAGTACATTGTTGCGTTTGGTCACCAAAAGAATACTGTGGTCATTCTTGGCATGGATGGGAGGTAGGAAAACAAATTAGTTTTCGATGCTTTGGCACTTTAGTCATGACGGAACCATATTAATGAATCATCACTCGTGCATATGATACAATGGTAATAAATGTTTGGAGTTTAAACACTGTTATGCAATTTGCATGTCGATGCAGCTTCTATCGATGCGAGTTCGACCCAGTGAACGGAGGAGAGATGACCCAGCTGGAATATCACAACTTTCTAAAGCCAGAAGAGGCCTTTTGAAGTGAAGTATTGTACCATTCATCCTTTCTTACAGATAATGTCCTCTGGAGTCTGGACTATTTGGTCTGCTGCTATGTTTTTTCTCCGTAGTTTTAGGGTTTGGGTAAAGCATGTTGTAAATACATGAGCATTGTAAATTTGTAAATTTCTGAGTGCTGTACCAGTAACGAAATTAGAAAATGAAAAAAATAAAATCTAACTTAATTAAGTTATTTCATGGTGTTGATTTGTGTTCCCAAATTGATTAAGCTACACCAGCGGATGCTTCAGTGGTGGCATCACAAGTCAATCACGTACCGTTATGCGTTTTAACTTACTCACATGATAGTGTTTGATTGGTCCGTGATACTGTCGACGTCACGTTTGGAAGAGCTTATAAAGTCCTCGAAACTATGAGCTTCTTGTGTTATTGTTAATTCTAGTTTTGTGGTTTCCTATGTAGCAGATTAAAAATCTAAATTAGTTCTGAGGTTCCATCTCTTGGCCATTGGTGTGGGAAATTGCAAATTGACCGTTGATGGTCACAGAATCAACTAGGATCCTATGTTTTATGCTCCCTTTCAATGCTTTGTTTTCTTAATTGTTCTAGTTCTTAAGACTTGACTGTTGGGTTTTATGTGTTTGGTAAAATATGGATACGAAAATCATTTTAGTTTTTAACTTTTTTTGTTAAAACACGAGAAACCGCAAAATTATGATTTTTCGTTGACATGCGTAATCAAATACTTTTGAACATAGTCTAATCAAATACTTAACAATTAGAAATCAGATCAGTTTATTACTTTTTATATTTTTAAGCTCTCTGATTCTTTGATCCACCTATTTTTGTTCAGTAAACATGCTAAAGTGACTCTTGTTAACAATGTTGTACTCACTGTTAAGAGAAGTGCTAAGGAGACTCTAAAAATTGAGAAATTTTTCATTGTAATGGGAACACGAATAGTACACTATGTGTTTTTATTTGAGTGGTGTGAAATTTTACTTTTTAGGTTATTAAATTTTTTACACACGTATCCCACAATTTGCAAAGTAACACATGGTGCACCACTCCGTGTTCCGGTCACACTGAAAAATCTCTCCTTAAAATGAGACTCTCAATGAACTTTTTATCATCTCACTTGTAACGTTGATTTTCGTGTCAACGTTATAAAATATTGTGCCCAAAATATGAGGTAACATATTTCACAAAAAGTTCTACTTTTGAAAGTCTCCTTAACATTTATCTAGGGTTAATTGCTAATCTTTTGACTTGGTCTTTGTGCAGTGTTTAAAAAACGAGAGCATATATCTCAAGATGCTGCCAATCATTTTAAAACCAATGCACTGAAATCTTTGTTTGACCAGACAATTGATGCTATTTACATACATTTTTTTAACATTTTATACATAATTCTTAATTTTTGACCTTCAAATCAAAGAAATTAAAAAAAAAAATCAAAAGATAAAAGTAAACAAAGAGTACCCTTGTGTGGATACCATCACCCGATATTTTATCACTAACATAACATAATAGCACACATCTATTCATACAAAGAAGATTATGCCCAACATTTCACTTTGAGTCCGTCTAGTTGGATAACAGTTATCGACACTTTAAAATAATCATTTTGCGAGCTAACCAGTTGCAACAATTTGTTCGTATTGCAAACACTCGATTCATAAGTCGCGCTAAGAGACAAATCGTCTGTCATCATTGCATCGGGGCTTCCATTCAACCATGTGAAAGATCCTGAAGTTTGATCAGCAATACTGTGCTACTGTTCTTATTTTTCTGACATCAAACTGTAAATTGTTTATTTGCAGTAACAATACAAGTTTAAATGTAAAAAATCGACAAAGAGTATCTCAAACAAGATGAATCCCAGAGCCTTAAGTTATATTTAAGAAGGACCTTGGTCTCCAATGCATACATATCTTCCACCAAAATCTCTAGGCACTAGCACGTACTAAGCTCCCTTCTACTCCAACAATGGTGCTCAAGCTGCATGGACTTTCTGTGTCGATTTCCACAGCTCGCGTCGTCGCTTGTCTCCATGAAAAAAGCGTTGATTTCGAGCTTGTCCCCGTTGATCTCTTCGCCTGCGAAAACAAGCAGCCTGAATTTCTAGCCAAGAATGTACAGTTTCATTCATTTCCAAACATTTTACAAATCTCCATGATTTTTGTAGCTGTATATATAGAAGCTCATTGTATTTTCTCCATCATGTTCGTGCAGCCCTTTGGCAAAGTTCCAGTACTAGAAGACGATGACATCACACTTTTCGGTAAGTGCTTTATCTTGGCTAGCGATTTTCACACTCGTTCTTTAGCCTTCTGCATTTCTTCAGACCGTAAAAAATACTGATGTAAAATATGTAGGGTGAAGCGCAGATGGCTAAAAGAAGGGTAACGAAATTTGTGATAGTTTCTAGCTTAACCTTCTTAATTACTACTACATTTGTTACACCAGAATCTAGGGCAATCACAGCATATGTAGCTGAGAAATTCAAGGAAACGGGACATGATCTCATTCGTCATGAAAACTTGAACGAAGCTGCGTTGGTGAAGGTATGGACAGAAGTGGAATCCCAACAATACAACCCTGCAATTGATCCAATTATTTTCGAGTTTTTCACAAAGCCTGTTGTAGGAATGGAACCAGATCAAACAGTGATCGATGCAAGTTTGGAGAAGCTGAAGAAGGTGCTTGACGTGTACGAAGCCAGGCTGAGCAACAAGAAGTTCCTTGCTGGTGATTTCTACAGCCTAGCTGACCTTCACCACTTTCCGGGCACTTTTTATTTCATGAAGACGCCTTGGTCTTCGTTGGTCAACGATCGTCCTCACGTCAAGGCGTGGTGGGAGGAGATTTCAGCTAGGCCTGCCTCCAAGAAAGTGGCTGAGGGTATGAATTTTGGTGAAGTTTGACTGGTTCTGCTATGTGTTATTTGAGACGAATGTTTTCGTTCATATCTTCGTTGTACTACTAAGGTTTAAGCTTGCATTCTTCCGACTTGTTAAGTGAGAATATTGGATGGGTAAAAAGCAAGCTATACAAATCGACAAAGATTGAAGCTTTGACTCAACCTATGACAAAATCGAGACAATTCTAATAACCCACTTTTGGCCTAAATTAATTATACATGGAAGACATTATTTTCAGACTAGTTCGCTCTACTCTAATAGAGTGACGCAAGACGAATCAAGGGTAAATAGAAAGAACGGGGGATAGTAACTTGGGATTTACTCAACCAGAGGCAACAGAGCAATCTCAAGTGCTCAACATTGTTAATCATGGATTCACTCACACGATCAAGTCAAATGCTTGATTTTCATGTGACGTACCACCCCATGTTACGGGTACACTAAAAAGTCTCTCCTATAATTGTGGGTAACTGCTTTTCTCTTCATTGCATTAAGTATGGCTATTACTATTAGTTAAGCTGTTTTCTTAAATTACCTTGATCTTTTGATGTTATCTTTGTTGAAAACATTCGTTATGATTTCAATTGTCAATTTATTTCCTGTATAAATTAAGTCAGGACACTTTGCGTTTAATATTTTATTTTTCTTAACGTCAAAATTATTATTCTTACAACAAAACCGAAGACTTGGCGTTTGATATGTGTTTATAGCTCACGGAAGTTTTGGCACAAAACCAAGTGCAATGATAATTTAGGTGGTTGCATCAAAATTAATTTTTCTATATAAACCTAGCTATTATTCTTTGGGGGAAAAATATCCTCATTCAGCTATTCTTTTCTCTTCCAAACTCTCTACGAGTGTTTCCCAACCTCCTCAACTATCATTCGAGGATCATCAAATTCTCTAAGATTTTTATCCAAAAGAATAACAAAGTTGTTCATCAAGAGAATTATTACAAGTGTAGCGTAATCCGCCATAACATGTTACGTTAATTATCTCCAAGTAACAAATTTACACTTAAGGGCGGATTTCTCACACATTACCTGGAAATCATTTCTCTTCAATCAAGCAGCAATCAACGTAAGTTTCCAACGAGGTAATATAAAAGTTAACTTTTTTTTTTCTTTCAAATAAAGAAAAGCTAATGACATTAATGTTAGACAAATAAGGAATATGGTTGGAGTCCTTGTGCAATTGTATATAATATTATTCACTAGCCGTCCTACAGCCGTCAAGCCGTCCTACAGCCGTCCTACCTTGTCCTACCTACACACTAGCCGTCCTACAGCCGTCAAGTCGTCCTACAGCCGTCCTACCTTGTCCGACCTACACACTAGGACGGCTACCTTGTCCTACCTACACACTTGTATCATGTATATATATCCTTGTAATCTTGTAGAGAAAGATAATGAGAAAAAAAGCATTCTCTTCCATTTTTCCACATTCACGTATCAATAACAAATATATTTTTTAGCCTACATACCTTTTTCTACATGGTATACAGAGCAGGTTTATAACCCTAGCCCTAATTTTTTTTTCGGCAGCTTTCTCTGCCGTTCCCATGGCTGACTCTTCTTCTTCCGATGGTGTTTTTTCCCTTCATCATTCCGACCACCCGAATCTTGTCCTTGTATCCAAGAAGTTGAATGGTGATAACTACACATCCTGGGCCCGTGGCATGCAGCTTTCCTTGAGTGCCAAGAATAAACTTGGTTTCATCACTGGCGATATCTAAGAACCTTCTTCCTCCGACGACCCTGATGCTCACGCGGCTTGGCGTCGTTGCAATGACATGATTCTCTCTTGGCTTCTGCATTCCTTGGAACCTGACCTTCAAGAATCTGTGCTTTTTTCCACCTCTGTCCAAGCTGTATGGGATGATCTTCGCGAACGCTTCTCTCAAAGTAATGCTCCACGCATCTTCCAACTCAACCGGGAACTTGCTACAATTTCTCAAGGTTCTTCTTCTATCTCCGCCTATTTTACTCGCCTGAAAGCTCTCTGGGATGAGCTTGCTTCTTATAATGATGGCTGCACGTGCTCTTGCAACGCCAAGCATGACCGTCAACAACTCATGCAATTTTTAATGGGCCTCAACGAATCCTTTGCTGCTGTTCGTGACCAGATTCTTTTAATGAATCCCCTTCCCACTGTTCGTCAGGCCTGTTCCTCGGTGTCTCAAGCTGAAAAACAACGCTCTCTGGGCATCCTCCGCTCTGTCGATCAACCTGCTGCCATGGCTGTTCGTGGCCCGTCCCGTCCCTCCTCTGCTCGTCCTCCCCTCCACTGCACCTATTGCAATTTTGATTATCATACCCGAGACACCTGCCATAAATTTCATGGCTATCCTGTTGGCCATCCCCTCCATGGCCAACCGTGGCGACCATCGCGCCGTGCCACTGCTTCCAGTTCTTCCCGCAGCCATGCACCTTCCAGTCCTCCCCGGCAACCACGGTTTTCTGCTTCCCGGCCCCATAATTTCACCCAGGCCCATCACGTGCAAGGCACCCAGGCCCCCGCCTCCTCTTCTACTCCAGCGACCCACCAAGTGCACGGGGCCCAGCCCACTTTGCATTACTTGCAGCTTGCCATGCCTGACCTCTCTGCCGAGCAGCACTTCCGTGTTCTAGCTGCTCTATGTGACACCACCACCCCTCCTCAGGCCAATGCCGTGTCACTACTGATTTTGCCCAAGGTTTGTTACCTGTCACCTCTCGTCATGGTCAATGGATTCTTGACAGTGGTGCTACGGATCATATTACTTCTTCCACCTCATGTTTGGTTAATCGTTCTCCTTCACATTTGCCGCCTGTTTCTTTGCCTAGTGGTGCTTCTGCTCCCATTACTTTTACCGGCACTCTTCCTTTAAATTCATCAGTTACTTTGAAGGATGTTTTATGTGTCCCTAATTTCCGAGTGGACCTTTTATCGGTTGGTAAACTTACAGATGGATTATCGTGTTCCATAACCTTCTTTCCTTCTTGGTGTGTTTTGCAGGACTTGGTTTCGAAGGCGATGATTGGTGTGGGTAAGCGACGTGGCGATCTGTATTACCTTGTGGCCCTTACCTCTTCTCTCCCCACCCGTCAACCTCTCTGCAACATCATTACCATCCCCTCCTCCCTCTGGCATAGGCGTCTTGGTCACCCCTCCTCCACTCGTTTGCAAGCTTTAGCATCTAGCTCTCTTAATTGTACTTTTGATTCTAGTCATCTTTGTGATGTTTGTCCGTTGGCAAAACAAACTCGTCAACCTTTTCTTTTGAGTTCAATTTCATCAACTTTCCCTTTTGCTTTAATTCATTGTGATATTTGGGGTCCGAATCGTCAATCTTCTCTTTCTGGTGCTCATTATTTCTTAACCATTGTGGATGATTTTTCTCGCTTTACGTGGGTCTTCCTCATGAAACATAAATCCGACACTCAACAATTAATTAAGGATTTTTTTGCTTATGTCATTACCCAATTCCGCACTACCATCCAATGCATTCGTACTGACAATGGTGGTGAATTTTTATCTCTTCGTAGTTTTTTCTCTGATCATGGGGTGCTTTTACAAACTTCTTGTGTTTATACCCCCCAACAAAATGGCGTTGTTGAAAGAAAACATCGTCATCTTCTTGAAACCGCTCGCGCCCTTCGTTTTCAATCCCATCTTCCTATCAAGTTTTGGGGGGAATGTGTTCTTACCACTACTTATCTCATCAATAGTCTCCCTACCCGTCTTCTCCATCATAAATCCCCATTTGAGGTTCTCTTTTCGAAAACCCCATCTTATGACCACTTCCGCGTCTTTGGTTGTCTGGCATATGCCACCTCTGTCACTCTCACCACCAAATTTTCCCCTCGGGCTCATCGTTGCATTTTTCTCGGTTATCCTCATGGACAAAAGGCCTATACCCTTTACGATCTCGACAATCACCGCATTTTCACTAGTCGAGACGTCATCTTTCACGAAACTACTTTCCCTTATGCCGTTTCTCACCCTCCTATCCCATCCTCTTCGCCTACCCTACCCATCCTACCCCCTCTGGACTTTACATATAACCCACCCCTTCCTGCCCCGACGCCTCACCCTCCTCCACCTTTCTCCCCTTCCACGCCTCCCACAGATTCCCTTGCTGCCCCATTACCCGTTCCTCCCCATGCCCCTTTACCCACGGACATCCCTAACCCCCCCCCCACTACCTACCAATCCTCCCCTTCCCCGCACCTCTTCCCGTGCCCATAAACCTCCATCCTATTTAAAAGACTACGTTTGCTCGCAGGTGATTCTGCCATCCCACCCATCTTCGACTTCGCAACCCGGTTCTACACAAGGTACGCGATATCCACTTTGTAATTTTCTCTCTTATCACCGTTACTCTCCCATGCATTTTTCTTACATTAACTCTGTCAGTCGGACTGTGGAGCCTTCCTCCTTTGTCGAGGCTGCCACTGACCCCAATTGGCAACGTGCTGTGACTGAGGAGCTTCAAGCTTTACATGCTAATGGTACTTGGACTTTAACTTCCTTGCCCCCTGGCAAAATTCCCATTGGTTGTAAGTGGGTGTACAAACTCAAACACAATTCCGACGGCTCTATTGACCGCTACAAAACTCGTTTGGTTGCTAAAGGCTTCACTCAGGCTGAAGGTATTGATTATCATGACACTTTTTCTCCTACTGCTAAGATGATTACGGTGCGTTGTCTTCTTGCTCTTGCTGCTAGTCAATCTTGGTCTCTTCATCAGCTTGATGTTAATAATGCTTTCTTACATGGACTACATGAAGAATCTATATGTCTCCTCCTCCTGGTCTTCCGCGACAGGGGGAGAATCTTGTGTGTCGCCTTCACAAGTCACTTTATGGTCTTAAGCAGGCTTCTCGCCAATGGTTTGCCAAATTCACTAGTGCCATCATTTCTGCCGGTTTTCAACAATCCAAAGCTGACTATTCATTGTTCACTAAAAAGTCTGGTATTTCTTTCACAGCTTTGCTAATTTATGTGGATGATATTGTGATTACAGGCAATGATGCTAGTGCCATTAATTCTCTGAAGTCTTTTCTCCGTGATCATTTTCGGATAAAAGACCTTGGTGATTTAAAATATTTTTTGGGTATTGAGGTTTCTCGTTCCAAACAAGGGATTTATATTTCTCAACGCAAGTATGCATTAGAGA